CTCCCTGCCCTCGCCTTCATCAGCCCCCTGGGGCTCGCTGCCTCCCTCCCACCCTGCACCCTGTCCCTGCATCCAAGGCCTGTGCCTACTCCCCTCTGCTCCTCTCTTAGTCCCCCAACAGCCACCTGCTCCCTCCCGTACTGAGGTCTGGGTCCTTCTTCCTGGCATCTCCCTTGGTGGCTCGGGGTGGGTGTCAGAAGCCGGCACCCGGCTTCAGAGCCTACCAGGGAACCAGGATGCCACCGGTGTCACGGGACTGGCAGCTGGGGTTGTCTCAGGGGTGGCCTTGGGGATCTGTTCTGGGCTCCAGGCCCTGGGTTGGGACATGGCCCTCGGGATTGAGAAATGACCGGGAAATTCCTCCCTGATGCAGTGTTTTCCAGACACAACTGAGATTTCTGGTCCCTGGACACAACTCACTCCTTCCAGAGGCTGAGGAAGGAGGTGGCCTGGCCAGACTCTGTCCCCGGGATCCCAGCTCGTGAACGCAGCGTCCTGAGGAGGAACGGGTCTGGTGTCCAGTCGTAGGGCCAGGCCTGGAGGACTTCACTGGCCCCTCATGAGAGAGCGCCCTTGGACCTCCTGATTCTCATCCAGGCCCCAGGCCAAGCTCTGATGACCTTGACCTCCAGGAATAATGTTTTGGCCGCAGGTGGGTGGCCGGCCATCCAGGCTCCAGAGCCCTGCCACATGGATGCCTTCCATCGTTCCCAAATGCAGCCCAGGCACCACCTCCCAGGTCAGTGTGGTCCAGTCCGCAGGTGCCAGCGGTCAGCGAGTCCACAGCTCCTGGGGAGCCTTGGGGACCGTGGGGGCCAAATAGGACCTCAGAGACCCCCAGACTCCTTGCAGCTGGAGTACAGATTCCAGGCTCATGATGTTGCACCATTTGACTTTGTGTCTTTCCCGTGTGTGTGTGTGTGTGTGTGTGTGTGTGTGTGTGTGTGTTACTGTGGATTGAACTCAGGGCCTTCACATTGAGCTACATCCCCAGGCTTTTTAAAATTTTTTATTTTGGCGGGGAGGGCTTGCTAAGTCAGTAAATTGCCCAGGCTGGGCTCAAACTTAGGGTCCTCCCAGAGTACAGGACTGTGCCCACTTGATCACCCTCTTCCTGTGGGATGGTCCAGTTTTCTCCTCTGTACAATGCATCACACCAGCGTGGCATCTTTGTAGCCAGGGAAGAGCCTATGAGATCTCTCACGTTCAAGGCCAGGAGTGCTGCCCCGGACCCAAGGGCTGGACCGAGGACAGCTACGGCCTCGCTCTCTCTGTCCCTGCCCTCATGACCACAGCCCCTTGCTCTTCCCCACAGCTGCCTATCACCCGTGCCCAGCTGGTACCCCGGCTTCCGGCAGGATGGATGCCCTGGCTCCAGCCAGACCAGGGATCCCCGGGAGACCACACAGCCCCACTCGGGTTGCCTGTATGTGGGTCCCAGGCTTCCTGGCCATGCGGTCCAGCCACGCGCTCCGGTTCCCAGGCAGAGCAGGGAGAACTCAGGAAGTTATATCATATTAATGAGGGATGACGCTTGGCAGGCTTGCGTCCTGTCTCAGCACCAGGGGAGCTGGGGGAGGTGGGGAGCTCTGGTTCCCAGAGCTGTCTTCTTCTGGCCTCTTGTCCCCAACAAGATCAGGAAGTTCCCCCTGCTCCCATGCCCAGAAGGAACTGGGACAAGCCCTGCTTTCCTCTAGCCCTCGGTTTCCCCTCTTGTGACACTTGGGAACACAGCAACCTGGGTCAGCAGCTCATGGGTGACAGCCTCCTTCCTAGTGAGGGGACCAAGGGTCCAGGCTGTTGTCAGGCCTGCATGTATGTGCCTGTGCGCATTCCCCAGGCAGGGCTGACCCACAGCCCAGCAAGCGCATAGCAGGAGCCACTGGGGTTCAGCTCCGCACTAGGGGAGGGGCATCTTGGGGGGCCAGGGAGCCTGAGGAGGAACTGCCCGGGTGTTCGGGTGTGCAGGGTGACTCAGCAGCTCTCTCCTCTCTCCACCCACTGTGAGACCAGAACTCAGCCTCCCAAAGGGACCCAGGGCAGCGCAGAAGAGGAAGGACAGCCCTGAGACCACAGGGAGTAGACTGACTCAGGGACGACACAGCACTGGAGGTGGAGGTGGGGACCCAGGAGAGGGCAGGTGCCAGGGCTGAGCTTCTGTGTGCAACTTGGGAGCCTGCAGGATTTATGTGAGGTTTGTTCTTAGTTTTGTTTTGTTTTGCTTTTGTAACGAGCATCTAACTCAGGACTTTGCGCTTGCGAGGCAAGCACTGTGTCACTGAGCTAGATCCCTGGCCCTTATTTATTTTGTTTTCCCCTGTGCTGGGGATGGAACCCAGGGCCTCATGCATGCTAGGCAAGTGCTGTACTACTGAACCGACTCTTTTTGAGATGATTCTTCCTGAATTGCTCAGGCTGACCTTGAATTTGTGGTTCTCCTGCCTCAGCCTCCTGAAGCAAGCTGAGATAACAGCTGAGCACTACCATGCCCTAAGAGAGTATTTGTTAGCATGATGATTGTGGGTTTATGTGTATGCGTGTGTCAGTGGGTGGTGTCTGTGTGGCTTTTATGAGTGCATCTTAGCGGGCTGATTTCTTTGTTTTGGGGGGGGATTCTTTTTCTTTCCCTCTTTTTTTTTAGTACTAGGGATCGAACTCGGAACCTTGCTCTTGCAAGGCAGGCAGCAGAACCACTGAGCTAAATCCCTGGCCCCTTTTTCTTTAATTTTTACTGGTACATGTTTTCCCAGTACTCTGGAGGCTGAGGCAGGAGGATCTTCACAACTTCAAGGTTAGCCTAAACTACATAACAAGACCCTATTTTGAAGAACCAGAAACGGTACATAATGTTTACACTCATTTTAGGAGCTATGTACACCTACCTACTTATCATACATTAATTCTTTTTATTCTTTATCCCTTCTTCTTCTTTCTCCTTCCTTCCTTCTCAGTCCCCTTCCCATTTGCAAAAGATTGATCTCCTTGTTTCTTATTATCTATCTTTTATTTTGTTTTTAAAATTATTTATACCTCAGATTCGTCATATAAGAGACATTATATAATATTTAAACTCGTGTCTGATTTATTTCACTTAACATTATGGTGTCAAAGTGCAACTGTCTCCCTACAAATGACTCAAATTTATTCTTTTTTGTGGGGGGGGGGTTGAGACAGGGCCTCACTATGTAAGTTAAGACTGACCTGGAGCTCACTATGGAGCCCAGGCTGGTCTCGAACTCACAGCGATCCTCCTGCCTCAGCCTCCGGAGTGCTGGGATTACAGTCAAATTTATTCTTTATAGCAGAGTAATACTCCATTAAGAATAAATCCCAGGCTGGGGATTTAGCTCAGTGGTTCCAACACCTGCCTCACAAGCACAAGGTCCCGAGTTCAATCCCAGGTACATAATAAATAATAATAATAATAATAATAATAATAATAATAAATCCCATTGTCTTTATCCATTCCTCTGCTGATGGACATATAGCCCTCCTCCAAAGTTAGCTGTTATGTGTTGTGCTGCTAAAAACTTGGTATGCATGAATCAGTGTGATGTGATGTTTTCGACTCTCTTGGGAAGATACTTAGAAGGGGGAATACCTGGGTCGAATGCAATTTCTACTTTTAGGGTTTTTGTTTTTGTTTTTGAGACAGGATCTCTGTCTCACTATGCAGTTCAGGCAGGACTTGAACTCATGAAAACCCTCCTGCCTCAGCCCCCCAAGTGCTGGGCTCACAGGTGTGTGCCACCATACCTGGCTAGTTTTAGTTTTTGAGGATTCTCCATACTGACCTCCATAGTGGTTTCACTAGCTCGCTGTCCCACTAACCAGGTAGAAGGGTTCCTTTTTCCCCTTACAATCTTGGGGGGCCGGCTGGTGTCAGTATTTTGTGTGTGTGTGTGTGATTGTGTGAACAGACAGAACTATGTGTGTGTGGACACGGCCACATCTGTGCCACTGTGTTCCGTGCATGTTTGGAGCTGTGTGTGTGTGTGTGTGTGTCTCCCTGTGTGAGAACGTGTATGACACAAGTCCTGAGTGTCTGCAGCCATGGCTACGTCCTCTGGGGGCTATGTGGCTGGAGAGGTTTTTTTCTCGAAGGGCATAGCCGGGTCTATTTGTGTACCAGTGTGTGTCTTTTCGGTGTGTGCTCATGCATTTTTTTGTGGCTGTGTCTATCTGTGGCCTGTGTGTATTTGGATGTGGAGAGTTCGATGGGAAGAGAATGAATTTTGGTTTTGGGGGGGTTTCTTAGTTTTGATTTTAGCTTTTTGAGACAGGGTTTCACTGTGTAGTCCAGGCTGGGCTCAAATTTGTGGCATATACAAACCATATACCCTGAATGCACCTGATGTCGTCTGATCTCAGAAGCTAAGCAGAGTGGGGCCTGATGAGTGCTTAGACAGGAGAACTCATGGCAATCGGCCTGCCTCGGCCTTCCAAGTGCTGGGATTATAGGTGTGTGACACCAGGCCCAGCAAGAATGGAATTTGAAGCTGTCTCCACCATTCATTACTTGTCTTGTGACCACAAGAAAAAGACTTCCCTGACAAACTCTTTTTTTTTTGGTACCGGGGATTGAACTTGTGTCCTTGCGCTTGCAAGGCAGGCCACCAAACTGCTGAGCTAAATCCCCAGCCCTGACAAACTCTTCACTGATTGTCTTCACCAAAGGACCACCTTGACCTTGTTGGAGTGTTGTATGAAAATCAGGGAAATTCACCCTGCTTGAGTCTCAGAAATTCTCCCACTCCTGATGTTATTATTCATTCAACAAACTTGACAGTTTCCTGTGTGCCAATGTCCAGGGACAGAGGGGCCATGAGGGCACTTTGCAGTGGGGGAGTGAGTGTAAATCCACACAGCATGGAGACCTGGGCAGGGGGGACCTCAGCTGAGGCATCCTCCACTCAGCCAGGACTGCTATCCGGGTGAGTGTCCTCAAGAGAGCAAAGCCGCCCGGGCATGGTGGAGCATGCCTGTAATCCCAGCACTCGGGAGGCTGAGGCAGGAGGATCGCTGTGAGTTCGCCTGGGCTACATAATGAGTTCCAGGTTAGTCTCGACTACATAGCGAGACCTTGTCTCAAAAAACCAGAGAGAGAGAGAGAGAGAGAGAGCCCAAAGCTGTTGGGTGTGGTAGCACAGGCCTATATGGAAGGCAAAGGCAGGAGGATCTTAAATTCAAGCCCAGACTGTACACCTAAGTGACTAAGCAAGACCTTGTCTATAGACAGGGAAAGGTTGGGGCCTGCCTAGGTACGAAGCTGTGACAAGCCTCTCCCACATCCACCTGCCACCTGCACAAGCTGAGTCTGGATGTGCCACAGACCCGAGTCTGCCACTTGCCCTGGGCTGGACCCTCTCCTGCCTCCTGGTCCTGGCCCAGGAGAAGGCACGACTCAACTCGTACCCTACACAGTCATGCCACCAGCTGCCCAAGCTCCGCCAGGCCTGCAGGCTGTCTGTGCCTCTCACCATGCCTGCTGTGCCTGCCGCTGTGAGAAGCGGGCCCGTGTCTATGCAGCCTGTGGCAGGGCCCACACCTGTCATCAGAGGCTGTTCTCCTCTGCCTACCGCCCTGCACCCCAAATGGGTCCTCGCCACCCTCCCTGCCTGCCCCTGATGCAGGGATCTGCATTTTCCCCTCCCTGCCCTCCCTTTGCCTGGGCTGTGCCCCCACCTGGGGAGACCTCACTTCCCCTCCTCCAAGGCCCAGCATCCAAACCTCTCCTGACAGCCTCCGTTGCACCCTGTGGCGCCAATCCCCAAAGCCACCTAGCCGTGCGCTAACTCCTTCTCCATGCCTGATTTGCACGTCTGCAAAATGGAGATAAACGGTGTCTTTGGGGGCCGTGGTGAGGATGCAGTGAGACGGGCACTGTGAAAGAGACCCCTAGTGGACCGTGGCTGAGATTCTCAGCCAGGCCCATCACCGCTTCGAACACACAAGGTTAGGGTACAGGGCACCAGGACGTAACAAGAAGACAGCCCGGGGTGGGGCAGCCAGAGCTTGCGGGTGGGGAAGTGGGAAGGGAGACCAGTACTCTCCAGGCAGCCACTCCGCTTCTGCTTGGCCTGGCTCTGACCCCAGCTTAGGCCTGGCCCTAGAGCTGACCTCACAGATGGGGTGGCAGGAAAGAGCAGCGGGTGACCAGACCTGGTACTGTGGCCCAGTTGTAAGGCTAATAGGATTAACTGGATCTGTACACATAGCAGCTGGTTACCCAGGGACCTGCCCTGTCTCTTCTGTCTTCTGGCTTCCCCCTCCTCCCACCTCCCGCTTCCTCCTGGTCCCTTCTGTGCCCGGATCCCTGTGCCCTTGCTCCTGGACGCCAGCCCCAGCCAACCTCTCCCATTTCCACACAGCTGCCCAGACCCGAAAGATGGTGGAGGGAGGGTTCGGCTTGTACAGCTCCCAGACTCCAGGCTGGAAGACTCCATGCAGTGCAGGCTCCTGAAACCCTACACAATTCTGTCTCCAGCCTTCGCGTGCCAGGTTCTAGCAGCACATTCGGGAACCTTTCTGACTCCGTCCCTCCCTAGCATCCTTCCTCCCTCCTCTCCCACCCCAGCTCATCCTTGGCTCTCTCCCGGTCCCCCTGCTCCCCCGGGGCTCCCACAGACATGATGCAACCAGGCTGAGCTGGCAGAGAGGTGGGAGGCAGGAGGGAGATGTAATTACAGCCGCTCCTGCCCCAATCCTACAGGAAGCTAAGTGGGGGCCCAGGGGACCCCAATCCACTACGAATAATGGAGCATTTGCCAGGCTCATGGAAGGCGCCCAGGGAAGAGACACCAGCGAGCCACCTTTAGCAGCATCCAAGGGTCCAGCTTCCATCAGCGCCAAGCTGATGACAAAGGGGGTGGAAGGCCAGGGACTGAGGGGGCAGCAAAACCAGTGGCTCTCGAGCCCTCGGGTAAAGTGATTAAGCCGAGCTCACAGCCCTCTCAGTCTGACTTTTCCCCAGTTTCTCTTCCTTTGTTTTTTCTTTCTTTTTTGTACCAGGGATCAAACTTGTGTCCTTGTGTTTGTGAGGCTGGCAGCAGCACCACTAAGTTAAATCCCCGCCACCCTTTCCTTTCTTTTTATTCTTCTTTCCAGTGTGGGGGATCAAACTCAGAACCGTGTGCTTGCCAGGCAAGGGCAGAGCCACTGAGCTACATTCCCTGGCCCTTCTTTTCTTTTCTTTAAGATAGGTTCTCTCAATGTAGTTCAGCTGGCCTTGAGCTCACTTTGTAGCCCAGGCTGACTTTGAACTCATGGTGATCCTCCTGCCTCAGCCTCCAGAGTGCTGGGGCTACAGGCGTGTGTCACCACGCCCAGCTCCCCAGTTTTAATGGAAACACACTTCATTGAAGCCACTACACAGCCTTCATGATAAATGGCAACAACTGGCCCCCACCTTCTTTAACAGGGAGACAGTGGGGTGTGGTAGGGACTTCAGCAAGCTGGAAAGCCAGGGTCAATCACATAGTCTATGGTCATGTTGTGGGCCAGTGGACCTTACAAATCCAGAGAGCTGAAAACGTGGGCTTTCATTCAAAATACTTGTTTTCCAAATTAGGAACAGAGTCAGGAATGTCTTTAAACATCATGTAGGCTAAAAGTAGAAAGCCAAAAAGTACAACAGCTGTTGCAAGCCACCAGTGTGTGTGCCGGGAAACAGAGAGCAGGGACAAGGACTGTTACAAGTCACTTCCTCTGTCCTTAAAATTTAAGAAAAAAAAGATTTCTTCGGTGGGGGGGCACTACTGGGAATTGAACAAACCCAGGGCCTTCACACTGAGCTACACCCTCAGCCTTTTCTTATCTTTTTTTTTTTTTTAATTGAGGTTACTTTCTTTTTTTATGAGGGTTTTTTTTTTTTTTTGTACCGGGAATTGAACTCAGGTCCTTGTGCTTGCAAGGCAGGTGGCGGCACCACTGAGCCAAACCCCTGGCCCTCACTGTCTTAATCTTTTGAGACAGTGTCTTATTAAGTTGCCCAGGACTCCTCTAGGCAAGCTCTCTGTGTCTCAGGCTTGCAAGTTTTCTTACCACCACATCCCGGTCTAGATGTGTCTTCCTCCAGGAAGTCCTCCCTGTCCCCCAAGCCGGGTCAGTATCGCTATCTAGGGACAAGGTCTGCCACTGCCAGGAGGGCAGGACTAAGGCTAACTAGGCCTCAGCCACGCGTCCAGCATCGCCCAGCACAGCGCTGGTCACAGAGCAGTTACTCAGGGCTGAACAGAGGAAAAGGTCGGGGCCTGAAGACAGCAGCCTTGGAGGGGCTGGCTGTGAAAGGTGCTGCTGGAGTCAGGGCCTTCCGGGAGGGGCAGGACCAGCCAGGGACGCCTGTGTCCACGCTGCCCACCCCACTCTCTCCAGCCCCGTGTCCTATCTGTAAGATGAGTATCATGAAGTGTTCTCTGGGGCCGTCGGGACAATTGTTAAATAAATTCAGGAGCAGATGGCGGGGCCCTCCGTGAAGGACAGTTTCTTCTGAGGTTGTGGCAGAGTTGTACACTCTTGGCATCCACGCGGCCCACGTTCCACACACACTCAGAAGCAAGAAGAAGGAACACAGGTTCCCTCGAGGTGATCCCAAGCTCAGCGTGTGCCTCAGTTTCCCCGGAAGCACAGGCACCACCACAGTCACCAAATTTATTGGACTTGTACTTTGGCGGGGGAGGGTAAGCTGTCGGGAGGGCTCACAGGAGTACGCAAAAGAGACGCTTGTCTCGGAAAGGATTCTCAGTGGCGGGTACCGGCGTCACCAGCGGGTCATCTTTGGCGTGCGTCTCACAGAAAGCCAGGAGCTCGGCTGCCGCCTGCGACACCTGCAGGCCAGCAGGTGGATGTGTCGCAGCGCTGGTCCAGCGGCTCCGCCCTCGGAGGGTCCCCAAACCCCGCCCCTTGCTCTGGCCCCTCCCACTCTCGAACGGCCCCGCCCCCAAAGCGGGCCTGATTCTGATAGTGCAAAACAGCGAAGCCTCAGTTGCTGTCTGGTCAAAATCATCTCCTATGCAGGGACTGCAACCCACTCCTGAGTACAATGATGCACATTTTTTTCTTTCTTTTTTTTTTGGTACCAGGGATCGAACTCAGGACCTTGCATCTGGGAGGCAGGTGGCAGCACCACTGAGCTACATCCCTGGCTCTTGATTCACATTTCTTATCAGTCACTGTCCTTTTCTATTCAAGGCTAAGTAGCAGATCTTTTCTAGGCAGGAGCTCTCTTAATCTTTTGACCAAGGCTGTTTTCACAGGATGAATAAGAGGATGGT